ATGCTCTTTATGCATCGAAGCAGTGCCTTGCCTTAAAAGACCTGTGCTATATAACTCTTAGAAAATACATTAGACATATAGAACAAGATGCCATTCAACTCGGATTACCTCCATTACTGGTAGAACGTCTACAACTTAAAGATTGATGGAAATATGTAATATAATTTATTCGCATATGCATAAAAGGAAGATTGTAAGATTAAACTTTTTATGTCAATTCTAATTACGTATAAATAACTGAATTTAAAATTTAATAAAAAGGGGAAAACATCTTAAATGTCCATTTCCTTTTTTCCAAGAAAGAGTGTGGTTTTTAAATTTATTATTTAACATTGTTATTTGTATTTTAATTTCTTTTAATAAATTCTTTTAATTAATCTTTAATCTTTAATTTTTAATTTCTTTAAATTAATCTTTATTTATATTTTAATTTCTTTTAATTTAACTTTAATTAATTCTTTATTTGTTTTTGAATTTATAAAAAATTAACAATATTTGATTTAATATTTGTTCTTCTTTTGTGTAAAAGTTTTTCTATATTTAAAGCAACATTTGTTTTAATATATAGAAAAATGTCTGCTATTATTATTGGTCAGTTACCTTTCGCCAGGGTAAACTGCAACTTATCCGTCGCAAAGACTAACAGTAAACCACAGTATATATTTAAAAACATTTCGCGTTTATTATTACTTGGTGTAGTGACAATGAATTACATCAAGTAGTTAATAAGATAGTTTGTTGGTAATCAAACGTGTGCCCACATTTCGGAAATTAAGTGTTGAATCTGTTATTCGTCTGAATAGCCGTAATTGTTAAACCATGTGAATAGTTAAGCACGATCATTCTTCTGTCTCAGAATGTGTATCTGATGTTAAAAATCTTCTACATTCTTATTTTTTTTCTCATTATTTCCTTTTAAAATTTTCACCTTTTTCTTTTCGTTATCTAGCTTTTCATTTTTCGTTTCTTATTAAATATGTTTCCATATTAACAAAAAAAGATTTTTGAAATTAATAATTTTAGTTAGGAATAACAATGGTAGTGAGTAACTTAATTTTGAGAATTTAAACTTAAAACTTTTTTTAGCTTTCCCACTCTTCAAAGCATATTACTATTTAAACTTAAGTAATTAAGAGCATGTATATTTAATTCAAATTTATTAACTGTTTTCGTTGTGTTGATCTATGTGCATTTCAAGGTTAAATAAAAGAATTCTACGTAATTTAAAATCTGAAACCTTTCAGATTTTGTTTTTATTTTAGTCGGCATCCAGTCAGATTAATATTTTTACGCACTATTATACAATTGTGATCTGCCCTTAGCAAATGTCCGTAAGTGCATTATTATATTAAACAAAGAAAGCAAGAAAAGAAAGTTTTAAACCCCAAAATTTGTCTAAATAACAGTGCATTCATACAGAATACATGAAAAATGGTTAATTAACACAAATCAATGCATCTTATCAATAAGTACTTCTCGTAAAAAGGAAAGCTTAAATAATACTCGAAAGAGGCTTTAATCAAACAGTAAGTCTTAACAAACAAATGTTTTAACAAAGCAATTAACATGCTACTTAGTAAAATAATCCTAATGCAATTTTTAGGGTAGTCAGTTAATGTTCCTCTGCTGCTCAGGGAAAATTTTCAAAATTAACATATTCTTTACAATCATTATCCCATTTTTGCAGAGGGAAAAAATGTGTATTAAGTGTAACTTAATAAGAGTAAACTGATGAAAATCTGAAATTTCTAGCACTTTTAATGATGATTTACACTGTACCCAATTATTTCATCTACAAAACATTAAGCATAAATTTAATTTACCCATTAATATTTAAATTCTCACGTCAATAACGTTTATTTAAACCTTTTTAGATGAATTATGACTTGATTGCATATTTCCAATGTTAACATGCACTATAGCAGCAAAATATGTTCCAACATTTTTAATTAAACTTTTAAAATTATTTTTTAGATTATTTACTTACGCCTCTTTTTATTTTCTGCAGTCTTATGATTTAAAAGTTAAAATAAAATTTTATTATAGTTTATTTTACGCTTTATACCAAATAATATTTGCGATAAAATTTTTTGAAGCATGTAACTTTTCCAATTCCTTTCTTTTAAAAACTCTAAAATCGATGACTATAATATTCTATACTATATAAAACACTATCTATAATATCTATGAATTACACAGATAGACGTATAATCTAATTTTTCAAAAAATATTTAAAACGATCGAGATATTACTAATTCAGTGTCACAATAGTGAGTATAATTTCTATTTCATCCCTGTTTACTTTCACAGCTACACTGAAGTGCCACTGAATTAGGGATAAACATGGCTATGAAAATTTTATAGCGCTGCTCATCTGTGCTCACGTGAGGAAATTATGGGAAATGTATGTACAGCTAGTATAGTACACTCCCGGTTATCCGCGGAATTGGGTGGCGCGACCGCCGCGGATAACAAAAATCGCGGATAATCCGAAAAAAGCTAAAAACGGGTATAGCAAAAGAGAAAACAGTTATTTCAACTTTGAAAAATGTATATGTACAATAACACGTAAGACAAACAGCAGGAAATGTTTAACTAACGCTTAATATTTTAGCATATCACTCAAAACTAACCTAAAATGCATTTTGTTAATGAAAACAGAGAAGTGCTTTGTACTTACGAGAGGCGTCTAGGATACACAGAAAAATTAAAACATACGTATATACTGTTTTAATACTTTAATGTATTATGTAATTACAAAAGCATAACTGTAAAATCAGTAAGATTAAGTAAGACGTGTCAGTAAGATTAAGACGAGAGAGGGCCGTGGAGCGGGCACTGCAAAGGGTGAGTAAGAAATCATTTACTCATCAGAGGGGAAGGTTCCGAGAAGGCCGGGGATATTTTTGCTATAAATAAGCACGATGTTTAGCAAATTTAACGTTTCGCTCAGTTTTGGGAACATTTTTATTTTCTTTGCTTTACGCTTGTTTAAAAAAAAAAAAAAAAAAAAAAAAAAAAAAAAAAAAAAAAAAAAAAAAAAAAAAAAAAAAAAAAAAAAAAAACAAAAAAAAAAAAAAAAAAAAAAAAAAAAAAAAAAAAAAAAAAAAAAAAAAAAAAAAAAAAAAAAAAAAAAAAAAAAAAAAAAAAAAAAAAAAAAAAAAAAAAAAAAAAAAAAAAAAAAAAAAAAAAAAAAAAAAAAAAAAAAACAAAAAAAAAAAAAAAAAAAAAAAAAAAAAAAAAAACAAAAAAAAAAAAAAAAAAAAAAAAAAAAAGAAAAAAAAAAAACACAAAAAAAAAAAAAAAAAAAAAAAAAAAAAAAAAAAAAAAAAAAAAAAAAAAAAACAAAAAAAAAAAAAAAAAAAAAACACTTTGTGTGGCAGGCGCGGATAATCGGGAGTCTACTTTACTATGGTTGTTGTTAATCAGTCGTTTGAATTACCAGTATGGGTAAAACTTCCGATTTAGACGGCTTTCAATTTCGGAGAGATAGTAGGCACTTGACGCATGGGCCATTCAGTTTCAAAAATTTTTCAAAAGGATTTTCAAGGTTGACAGTGTCAAGAGTATACCGAGAATACACGGATGGCGGAAAAAGAAGTAGCCATCGGGCAAACTGCAAAGGACAATTAACCTAGAACAAGCGTGGGGTGAGACGACTCAGCCGTATTGTACATAGTCAACGAAGCCAAACATTAGCTGAAATTCATACACTCAGTAAAAGGATCGTGGAACAGTCGCTTCACCATGTGGGCTTTGGAAGCCGTAGACAAAGAGAGTATCTTTGCTGAATGCATGCTATCGAGCTGCACTTCTTGACTGGGCAAGAGCATATGGACTTGAAATGAGTAGCAAGGAGTGATGAGTCTCGATTCCGACTAATTAATACCGATGGGAGGCTGAGAATATGGCGTCAGACTCATGAAGCCATGAACCCTGTATGGCAGATTTGAACTGTACAAGGCCATGGTGGCTAAGTTTTCAACTTTACGCCGAGTTTGGGATAAGCGTTGACCAATCAGAGCGTAGCTAAAACGAAGCGGCTTTCTACAGACGATTTCGCTGTTACATCGAAGGCGACTTTTTTCTAATATGAAGCACAACGTATCCGAATGAGCTGTAATCGTATCCGAACGAAAGCATGACGCCGATACTGCGTCTTATGCGTTGATACGTCGTTTGTGAATGGGTCAAAGTTTCATGAGATGCTGTAAAAACAGAGACACTGGTTAAATCATTTAAGAAATGTGGCATTAGTAATGCGCTGGATAGTACAGAGGAAAATTTGTTGTATGAGAACTCAGATGCTGATGTAAAAGAGGTTTCAAGTGACTCTTCATTTAACTCTGCAGAGGAGTGTCTGGGTTTTGACGAAGGAGATTAAAAGGCGTTCTTTCCCAGATAGATTGGGTATTTGCAGAAAGTATTACTTTGTATTTGTATTACTTTATATTTAAAACACTATATATTCATCATAATGATCAGTAATAAAGTTTTATCCTTCAAAAGTGTGAATAAAAGAGGGGGTGCTTCTTATAGATCAGTTCGTCTTATACACCGGCAAACACGGTAATTAAAAAACTTCAGAATAGTTTCTTAGCTAATTTTAAATATAGAAACGCAAGGGTTTTTAGCGGAAGAAGGATTGTTAATTGGATGCAGAGTATCCTCCTCTTAATAACCGTTACATCGGATTTTATATTAAGTTCTCCTTTCTTTATTTATTTTTATGGTTTTCTATATATTTTCAGATTTTTACTGTTTTTAGGTTTTAATTTCACATTTCTTTAACTCTTATTTTGTATATTATAGGATATTTAAGGGACCTTTTGAAATTTATTGGTACTAAATTTCACTTTTTGAGTCTTTGTGTAAAACATATTTCTCTTTTGTTTAACATATACTATATATATTTATAAATATTTTACTTGTAAAAAGAATTCGTACCTCGTGAAAAAATGAATTTGTGTAGAGAAAAAACAGAAAAAGAAAACAATTTGAATCCGCAACATTTATTGCTTACATTATACAATCATAAAAGTCCTTACAACCCATTTTCGAATGGGCACTTTCGATCCTTTCCTGTCACGACAAAAGTGTATTTGCTGTAAAATTATTGCATTCTGATCAGAAATTGTTCTCTGAATAAGATAAAACGAAGCCTCTTTTTGTTATTGTATCATCAGTACGGAAATGGATGGAAAGATGATTTCTAGGAAACACAAATGCGGGTGGAATCTGAAAATATAATTTATGTTTTTAGAATTCAATTTTGATAGTCAATTAAGTGAGTTATTAAACACTGCTCATGAAATATAGAATAATTTATAGCTTCTTTCTAATAATGAAATTAATGAAAATTAATGCATAAAACAAGAAACAATCGATCAAGGAGACTAAAATATAAATAAGAAAAATAAAAAAAGGAATAAGTTTTGTAGTGCTATTAACATAATGATTTCAAAGACATCAAAAACTGGCTTAAAAATTTCCTTAAAAATGCTGTTAACAACTTTCAGCCAGTGGTTGTAAAAACATGTTGTTACTTTTTATTTTTAACTTTGCTATGCTTAAATTCGTTTTCTTAGAAAAAATAGAACGACACAGACATACATGTGTGTAGACAAATTTCCTAATACAAGATTTTCATTTACGCCACAAAAAACTCATTATTTAGTACTTTTTTTTCAAACTGGTTCCCTTTATATGAGGATCCAATCAAAAATAATAGCAGCAGCTAACTAAACAACTGAACTGAGATGGTTCTTTCCGGCTTTATAAAGCTTTTAATCGGTCGCGAGGGAGTTCTAGTAAGTTCTTTGTTTCTCGATATTTTTGGAAAGCAAAAGAGTAGAATGACGGTTACAGCTAACACAGTAGTCAATTACATAGTTTCAATTTAAATATAAATTAAGGGATATCTATTTATTAAATGTTAATGCACGTGTTCCTGTATTTTTACTTTTCCGGCGTTGCTTTCTCTTAAAACATGTCTCGTGCTGTATTGCACGGGGCAATAAAACAGTTTTAATTATAATTCTACTAACATTAGTTATCTAAATACAAAATTCATAACAATATTTATTCACTCTTGAGCAATTAAACAACGAATCGAGATGCATTAATGATAGCTGGTTTTATACGTTAAAAGGCATTTCTTTCGCCTTGCTAGAGTGCCTTCGTGATGTAATGGTCAGCACACTGAGCTGGTATTTTAGAGATCCGTGGTTCGATTCCCGGAGAAGGCGATTGCTAAATTTCCAATTTCTCTCCCTTTCAAAAAAAAAAAAAAAATCCTTATGTCTCTACAGTGGTGCCCGAACTAAAGGGGTGTTGGAGATGATTCTACTCACCCAGGATTTGGCGATTGGGTACCCTAGAAACCCCAGTCGCCCTTTAAAAGAAGAAGTATATAAGGCATATCATCTCCCGCTTTCCTAGCGTGCCTTCGTGGTGTTGTGGTCAACACACTGAGCCGGTACTTCAGGGGTCAGCGGTTCTATTCCCGACGAAGGCGATTGCGAATTTTTCATCTCGCATGCTTCCCAAAAATCCTAATATGTCTACAACGTCTGTAAGACAAAGCAATATGAAACTCAAAATTACTAATTTTAGCAAAACTCCATTTAATTCCTAGCTTTAATTTGGCCACGTCCCCTTCAAAGAACTGTATTGCATCACCAACGCTATTATTTCATCTACAAAGATTTGTAGTGATGTAGGTCTCTTGTCCAATTACCATTCAAAACCCAAAGGAGCCCAGTTTATAAATAACCCAGCTACAAAATAGGCAGTCACTTTTCACCCTTCTCTCGCCTACCTGGTCTCGCCATGGAGGTAAGAAAGGGAGTGGTCAAACCGGCATTAGAAGTGAAGCACTGCTCCGAAGCTTCGGTCACCAGATGGGGTGTTTTTTGTTTACATTCAGAAGCTCGCTTGACAGAGCTCTGATAGCATTTCGACACACAACAGTTCCATACAAATCGAAAAATGGGACACTTCAGCATAAAAGAAACATTCCTAGTATGATGGACAATAGCAATTTGTATAGTTTAGTGACATTTACGCAAAAATCACATCTTGGTTATTTTTCGATAAATAACAGTAGCGATTTTGATTATGAATTTGTTTTATGAAATTATAAGCTGTTGAACTACAAAAATATACATTTTAGCAAAAAAGTTGTGCTTGAATGAAAAATACCTCACCATACCTTTAAAATTGTATACATCTTTCTATACCCTTGATAGATTATTCGCTACTTTTATTTTATGTTTCAAACGCCAAAATGTTTTAAATAAAATAAATTTTTTTCACATCCACATTTTATTCTAACATATACTTTTTAAAATTAGTGTAAATTACTTTATTCGAAAAACATTGTGAATGCACAAAAAATTAAAGATTTCTACATGCCGGAAATGAAAAATATGAAATGTGCATGGGTATTTATGCATGTGCTTGCAAAATGCGTATGCATCTGCCTTTAACAAAATATGTAAATATTTATTAAATTATTTATAAATGTATTTGAAATTAAGGATTTATTCATTCATAAACAACTGTAAAAGCTACTGTGAAGAAATCTAATTATTAAATGTATCGAAATTTATAATCCTTATAAATATTATCTAAATAACCTTAACATTGAATTGTAAACATAAATTGACATTCTGTTGGCAAATACGTTATAAAACTATTTAAGCAAGGATTGTTTGTACTGGAAAGCAATCTGTAAAAGGTACTGTAAAGCAATTTCTATGAGATGCGTATTTAAAGTAATAAAGAAGAGTTTTGGAATATGCATTGTTGATATTAAGGCTAAAAAAATATAGTGAATGCACAGAAATTAAAGATTTGCACAACCCTGAAATGAAAAATATGAAATATGTATGGGTATTTATGCATTTACTTGCAAAAAGGATGTATCTGCCTTTAACAAAATACGTAAATATTTATTAAATTATTATAAATGTATTTAAAATGAAGGATTTATTCATTCATAAGCAAGTAAAGTTTCTATGAAGAAATCTAATTAATAAATAATGTATCTAAATTTATAATGATTAAAAATATTATCTAAATATATAATAAACTAAGCATTGAATTGTAAACATAAATTGAAATCCTGTTGACATACACATTATAAAACTATTTAAGCAAGAATTGTTTGCACTGGAAAGCAATCTGTTAGGTATTGTAAAGCAAATTCTATGAGATGCGTACTTAAGTAATAAAGAAGAGTTTTGGAATATGTATTGTTGAAATTAAATGTAAAAACATCTGATAAGTATAATTAAAAGAATTATTCCCCTTACATTTTATAATAACTCACTTACAAGCTTTAAATAATATTTTTAAAAAAATCCTTATTTTATTCCCTTTCGGAAATATTCAGAGAAAGTTAAGTACTATTTAAAGTATTTCGTTTTTAAAATAAAAGGTGCTCTAATTTGAAATGGACCGAATAGAGCATTAATTATAAATTGACTTATATTTTTCGATGTAAAAGATGCCTCAGAAGCTAAAAAATCATGTCATATTTGAGAAAGTATTTTAGGAAGAAGCTCTATAAATAGAAAAGAAATAATGCATAGTTTTAATATTAATAATACTGCTTTATACAATAAACTTTGATCTTAATTTTTGTAATCCTTAACCGAGCAAAATCGAATTACCTTAAAATTTCTTTCTAATGTAATTAACGAAAACTTGTGATAATATTTCATTCAAATTAAATCATTCTGATCAAACTGTTCTGTGAAAAATATAGCATTTAATTCCGTTCAGAAAACATGTTGTTTAAAAATGTATTCTTTTCATATACTTAGGACTCTGAAGTATTGCAGAGAAGAAAATATATAGATTTATATGCGACGTAATTACAAAATATTTACATCCGATCGTGTCAAAACCCATTGAACTCAATGGTAAATTACCCAATGTTTTGGTCACCAACGAAGGGATCGCCAGTGCTTCAAAGCAGGGTTTGGGGAAACCGGTTTAGAGCCACTTCATCAAACTTCCCAAGGCTCCTTGAAACTTCCTACCTCCCTCGTCACCATCGAGATAGATAAGGCCTGCGCTCTGAATCGAAACTGGCTTGTGATGTCACGGTTAAGGGACCCTCAGCAATAACTCACACAATGACACTCCCCGAAACTTTCTCCGTATTCTTTGTCCACCTACCTCTTAACGCTGTTACCAGCAGCCACCTGCCTCTTAACAAGACATACTTAACTGTTACTGTTATAGACATACTTCACACGCTGTTGTTAGATGCTTAGATTTCGTTAGTTTTATTAACATTTGTGCATTATTCATTGCTTTTTGAAGTTGATTGCTTAGTAATACATTTTTGTTTCTACATATTTTCGTGCGAAATTGTGTTATCAGCATTATGCCTTTCCATTGTATTGTTCCTGGATGCAAAGGAAATTATGATAATGGTCCTCGTGTGAGAGTCTACAGTTTTCCATCTAATGAAATTTTAAAAAAGAAATGGCTTAAAGCTATACCTCGGAGCAATTTTAAATTAACGAAAACTTCAAAAGTTTGCGAACTTCATTTCAAAGATGAAGATATTGAGATGGAGACAAGTGCATATGATCCATCTTCTGGAAAAAAATAAGTGCACCTCTTTCACGTTCTCGATTAACGAAAGAAGCAATACCATCTTTATTTCCGGGTTGTCCCTGCATATTTATCCTATCAGAAAGAGAATCGAGAATCTCCGTATGATAATAAAAAATACGATTACAAAATCAGCAACTGCATTTGGCTCTACAGGAAAGCATGAAAACGCGAAATCAGAAGAAGAAGCAAAATACATGTTTTCAACATATAAGGCAAACTTTTTAAAGTGCTTAGAGACTCAGCAAATCCCGTTATTTTGGTCTATAATCAGGAAAGGAAGATGAGACATTATTTATTCACATCAATACTCAAGCAGCACCAGTTATTGAAGCCTCGGTTGTTCTTAAATATAATTTAAGTGTCTCAGCATTTATTGGTAATGGTGCAATAAAATCATGCAAAGAATGTAACTTTCCTGTGAAAGTTGGAGATATCAGAAACCTCCAATAAATCCTAGATGGTGTACAGTCTCTGTTAATACCTGTAGCTCAAAATGATGTTCAGTCAATTTTGGAATTATTGGGCCTTCTTAAACTGAATGATGAAATTAATTTTTTGGCCGAACAAGTTTCACTTTTCTCGGTCAATAAAGTTAAACGGAG